CACCAGAATGTAAAGGAAAGAAGGGGGGAAGAATTAAAATGAAATGAAGTTATCATCTACACTATATAGCCAACGCTATTATTCTTTCAACAAAGGGAAGCCAATCATGGCCACAGCCTGAACTCTCCCAACAATGGCAGTAACTCAACAGGATTTGCAAATTACAAAATTTACAGAGCTGTCGTCAGGGCGAAGTTTAAGGTACTCATTCTCGGGGTGCTATACAAGTTCCCTTATAAAATAGTGTCAGCAATCAAGATCTTACCTTAGATCGATAACGTCAAACTTCGAGTTGGGATTCATCAAAACATGAGAGCAGTGCTCATAGAGTGGACTCCCATCTTCAGGCTCCTCATGGGGATGAAATCCGCGCTGTTGGCAGTTGCGGATGACCGACACACCACCTGGGTCGGACAGATGAAATATTCCATATGGACTGCAACAGCATTGGGATATGTTAACAAATGATACTACTTAAGAGTTGTTGAAGGAATGGAGGAGAGGGGGAAAACACCTTGATTCATCCGTAGGAGCCATCACGATTGCAATAGCTTCTGGTAGCATAATCTGAAAAGGCCAAAATCTCCTTAAAAAGAGCCAAAAGAAACTAAACCTAGTCTGTGATAGGACACTAGGGATAAAAGAACAAAAAACAAAAATTAGTAGAATTGTTATATTACCTGGTACGAGTAATGTGTGTGCAAATCCACAGATGACATGAAACAGGTTTGTGATGGGTGTGTCTGAAAATCAAACAAGAATCAGAGACATGTAAAACAGAAGTTTCAAATATAATGGATATTCTCAAGAATCAGAGACATGTAAAACAGAAGTTCCAGTAAATAACACGACCTGAACAGAAACGTTAAAAGCCGAAAATTCCGATATTCTCAAGAACAAATATAATGGATGTTACATCCAGCTCTTCTGCTTTTCAGTTTTATTAAGAGCATCCATCTCAAGACATCACTACATAGCAAGTCAACTGAAGTGAAATAAACAAAGCTTGTTGACCATAAAGAATGCTTGTTCAGGATAGTAAGAACTAAGTGTATTGAGCCAATCCATAAAAGTCCAATAAGCAATAAGCCAATCCGAAGGTTATATGTAGTTTCATGGCTTATGTGGTTGATCTTGAAAAGTGTCATTTTCGGTGTAAGGTTAGAATGTCAGGCCTCTCAAATGTCTATCTAGATTGGAATATTCTTGCACGTGCAATAATATTACAGCAATTCATCTTCTGTTCTATTAGTGTCAGAAAGTGCAATGAATATTAAAGACAAAACTAAACTATTTATGCAGAGAAGTCGAGTAATCAACATAATATTAATAATTTAGTGTCCCAAATTCTATTGCATAAAGAGCCAGAAAGCTTACATGGATCCAACCAAGAGGGAAAAGTGATAATCTGTCTTGAACTTCAAATATTTCCTCCTCATTCAACGTTTGGCACTGAATATTTATTTTTTTTAAAAAAAAAAAAAAAGATAGAATGAGTATTGATTGAAGACAACAGTGGTAGCTAACTAAAGCTCAATCAAGTAACCCTCGAGTCAGTTATAACCATATATGAACCAATAGCATAGGAATGTACGTAGAATGTAAAACAATTAAAACTCAAACATACTTCATGTAGCAGTCAAAATGAAAACCAAACATTCAAGAGCAGTGAAAACCAACGGCGTGGAAGGAATTTCTAATTTTAAACTTGAAAAAGATGAAAAGTAATTATATTCTTACGGAATCTGATGTTGATTCTTGCTTCGGGACTATGAGCGTAGATATGTAAAAAACCCTGTTTTTCTGCAAATATATGATGAAGTATGAGAACAAAACTAGAGAATCTTTACAAATTTACAATAAACCATTAATTTGTTCTTACCAGTGAGCCAGCTAAAACACCACAAGTCTCCAGATTCTTATTTGTATTTTCTCGGGCCAATCTCAAGAAATCATCCAGCATTTTTACTGGCTGCAGCAAACAGTAAAAGTAAACAATATCATATTGGAAGATATACACACTTTTAAAAATGACGTGACAAAAGGAATCACTACATAGCAAAAGAAATAGGTGAATAATTAATTGCTTTCGGAAGTTATATACGAAAATCAAAGAGAGAAGGCCTACAATGTGTAAATGTTGAAACTCAGATCCATCCTGTGATTGTTTTGCCACTCCAGGCCTTGGATCCGCAACTTTAGATGGGGGGATCGTCGCATATTCCTGCTGAACCTTAGCAAGAACAGGAGGAGGAGAAGGTTGTTTGACCAATGTGAAAGGATCTTCCCTTACTTCTGTTATCAATGGAGGAGTAGACATGTCTGCAGGATGAGGCCAAAGGCCATCGTCTAGCGAGAGTACCGAGTCCATCATCGACGTAACACCTCCTGGACCACCATCTTTTTGTGCCACTAGATCACATTGTTCAATTTGATTCAGTCTGCAAGAATTTGAAGGATCAAGATAAATTTTCAAGAAAACATTCAGAGAAAAAGTGAAACAGCAAAATCAAAATATTAATCACATTAAGCTTTCGTTATCAGGAAGGTTACTCAAAACACAGAAGACAAAAAAAAAAAAGTAGAAATCCTCAGATACTAATACACGTTAAACACAACTCTGACCTTGAATCTTCAGAAGTATAATCCTGATTTCTTGGATAGAGAATCTGGCAGAACAAAAAGATTTAACCTCTAAATGGATTTCATAGTAGACAGAAACAAAAGAAAACAACATAAAAAAACAACACGCAAAACTCACCTTGTCTGTACTCGGTCCCTTCCATTGGCCCTGAAGACCATTGGGACCCAAAATAGAATGTCTAGACAAAGTTTCGGGTTTGGGAAGCGATACATTGATAGACCTGTGTATTCCCAGCACTAATTATCAGATCCATTTGTTCATGTTCGTAAGAACTAGAGACTAGATGAGCACGCCCAGAATTGTATTCTTAAGCCCTTATACTAAAGACACTGTCTTTCTATTCAATCTTGAGACCAGATGCAGAAGAACTCTGATGTCGTCAATATACTTTCTTATTTTCTGTCTTCTACTCTCTAACTAGCTACTTGAACTACAAGATCACCTTCTTCTAGCTTACACTAAAATATAAATATTGGAATGATTTATCTCCCTACATTATCATGAGGAGTAGGGACTAATACACCGCTAATGGATTCATATAAACATGTACGAAATAAATGGGCAAAATGTATACTCACAGATTTGAGAACTTATTCTCAATCCTTACAGAACTTGATTGTGAAACTAGACCTCGGTCGTCATGATACCTCAATGAAGATTGTGGTTGTAAATTGGCATGCTGAGAATTAAGAGGATTGGGGAGGCTGTGTATCAGTAGAGTGAAATCACAAGATAACAGTAAATAATCAAAAAATAAAAACTGGAAAAGACAAGTAAATCAAAACTCTAACTAATTTGTGGGCATTTCATTGATTAGTGATATAGTTACACGAGAAGAAAGTATCATATCAAACATTTAGAGTTGATACCTGCTTTTGATCCAAGATTAATGAAAATTTTCCATTCACATAGGGCGATGGCCGTCGACTGTTTGAAACTATTTCCTGCTCGTCAGGTGAAGGAAGACGAGACCGTCCATACACTTTCTCCAGTTCATTTACTCGGCGATCAAATTCGGGCTTCAAGGACTCAAGTTCATCTACTACACTCAACAGTTTCTGGTAGGACAACATAAAATAAAATGACACAACATTCACATACCATTCATTGCAAAAGAGCAGAGATATTGAGTCTTAACTCACCTTCTTATAAAATATCTTTTCCTTTGGGAAAAAAGCTAGGTAATCACGATGCCGTGGTATAGTTTCAGAAACCAAGCTGAGAAAATAAGAACAAGTTGAGAATTGAGTTTCCTACACCAAGAATCAACATCCGTGAGCAATGGAAAATACAAGCATCAACTAGGCCCTTACCTTGAAAACCTAAGAAGTATAATGAACAAATCCACAATATTATTCTCCTCCCGATAAATATTAGCCTGCCATTTCAAGAAAACAACACAATGACATCAAAATACAACGAGAGGGCAATTCTTATACCTAAACCACCAGTAAAAAAAACTGCAATCAAAATCACTTCAACAACCACGCAGAGAAAGAAATGGAAACTAACAAAACCTCAAATTAAACATTAAACATTAACATTTCAGCATCAATAATCAATCAGAACAATCGAGAAGAAAGTTTCCGAAATGATTACCTGTTTTAAGAGATTATCGGCGATCCGATAGTAATTCCGGAGGGGAATTCGATTATCAACCCCAACTTTCCGCGCCTCCCTATCGATGTTGATCTTCATCGAAGCTAGCAATCAATTTGATGAACTCCCAGTAGAAATCTTTCAAAGAACGAATAGGAATCTAGTATAACATATATTTGCTTAAGCGCGAAGAATGAATGCGGGGCCGTGAAATTGAAGTTGAAACTGGGACTCTAATGTCGACATGATGAGGTGCAACCGTGGAGGAGGGGGCTCGGGACTTTGGCCGTCAAGTTTTCGCTTTTCTTTTATATTTAGCCTTACATATATTTAAAAATGCTAAATAAATAAATAACGCTACAAATAATTTCTAAAAAAATATTTTAAAAATACCCTAATCTTTATTAAAAAAAAAAATGTATTTTTTAAACTTTTCTTCCCTCCAAAATTAACAATAAAGGTATTTTTTAATTTTTTTAAATTTTAAAACCAAGTGCAAAATTCAAATATATTTTTATTGATTTAGGCATTTTAAAATTTTAAAAATTAATTCATATTTAATAACCTATAAAATAAAATGATTTAAACCCTTAATATATTAATCAATAATATATATATATATATATATATATATATATATATATATATATATATTTTAAGATAATAGTAACGATTAGTCCCACTTAATCTCGCTCTATTTGTTACAATAATAAGGCATTTTAAGATTTTTTTTCGATAATTTATACAAGACATGACATGTTAAAATTATATAATAATAATGGGATTTCAAAGGAACAAGCTAAAAACGCCCAAAATAATAAAGCTAAATCCAATAACTATCTTATTCGAAGCCCTCCACGCTTTGTCTGTTTCAGCTCTTATGTGCTCCAACACGTCGAAGTTTCCTGCATTAACACAATTTTAGTTTAGTTGTTTAAAAAAATAAATATATAAATAATTATGGAATACAAAATTAAAAGGATGAATTAGTTGATGAAATTAGAATTTAATTAAATAAATAGAACCTCTTTGAGGGCCATAGCCACATCCAGCGTGGATGGTGTCCCTAACATCTTGCAACGTGGCCTTATTGTAAAACAAAAAATTGCTAAAAATGCCGTCAATGCAATCAAGCACCAAGTGCGTTTCACCCAAACACGGCCCGTTGCAGTATTCTTCTGTTCTTTCCAGTGGGACCTCCACATTCCCACTCGCCTTTAATCTGTACGATTCTTCACACGCGCTGTATATCTGTTTTTACTTCCACGGTAAATTCCGATGCTAAACATTTAACCTAATCTCAAGTTTAGTTATTTTAAGAATAAAAATATTTTATACATAAATTATCTACCATCTATTATAAATAATCTTTTATTCTATTCCCATTTTGATCTCCAAATACAGTAGTTGTCATTTAGTGCACGTCAATAGAATCTTCAAATATCGAACAAATAATTGTGAGTCTCGAAGGTGTAGTCAAAGGTGACTAAAGTGTTGAACAAAATGTATACTTTGTTCAAAGGCTCTAGAGAAAGGAGTCGAGCCTCGATTAAGGGGAGGCTTATAGTGTACTCTATTCGAGGGGAGGATTGTTGAGGATTATTGAGAGTGAGTCCCACGTTGGTTAATTTAGTGGAAGATCATGAGTTTATAAGTGAGGAATATATCTGTATTGGAATGAGACCTTTTGGGGAAACCCAGAGCAAAGTCATGAAAGCTTATGCTAAAAGTGGACAATATCATATTATTATAGAGAGTCGTGATTCTTAACATGGTAGCTAATTTGAATTAATCAATATATATATTAGTTATGACTATGTGTGACGTACATATTTATCATTGAAGCATCGTAATGCTTTGGCAACAATCTCGGGTGGATCCTCGTAACCAACAAAACCGCTCGATGCAACACCCTCGGCGTCGTCTCCTTTTCCTGNAAAAAAAAAAAAAAAAAAAAAAAAAAAAAAAAAAAAAAAAAAAAAAAAAAAAAAAAAAAAACATTAATTTAGATAATTATTAATAAAATATAGATTATATGTGGTAGTAGGTTTAATGCTACATTACCGTACAAATAACAAGAAGTGAGAAGGTAGAAGACGGCAACAGCTGAAATGGATATTCTAGTGAAAGGAAAGAACACGAGAGCCATAGTCGATGTTTGGGAAGAACAAAACATAGATACAAATTCTGAGCTTTTCATCTATATAATCTGATTGGCTCATTAGCTTGGAGGGATGAACAAAAGACCTTTGAGATAACAAAGCAGATGGGTTTGGTAAGAGAAAGGCAGAGAAGAAGTTGAACTAATTCACCAAAACTCTTGTTCCAATTAAACCTTTCCAAGCTTCAACCAATTGTTCGTGTCCAACTCCATCGATAATAGATATTGTTAGTTTTGGCTCGTTGGTATTATCGTCAGTCTCACGATTTTAAAGCCCAACTTCACCGCTAAAAGATATTGTCCACACCGTTGTAGAGAATGTTTTGCTTTTCTCTCAAACCGATGTGAGATCGTACAATCCAGCTCTTTCGGGGCCCAACATTCTCGCTGGCACTCGTTCCCCTCTAATCGATGTGGGATGTCACAGATATATAACGGGCCAAAGCTAACAATATTTGCTAGCATAAATATTATAATTTCATTTTAGAAATTTTGATTGGTCAACCAACCGGGTAGCATTGATTGGATAAACTAATTTATCTTAAAGTAAGAATTTGATTAAATCAACTAATTAGAACCAAGTTTAGTAAATTAAGCACTGAGAGATTGATGATTTAATATCAAAATCAAATTCGATTCCAATAATACAAATGATTTCAACAACCTTCATTTAAGAAAATAAGTTGGGTGATTCAGAATTAATTTAGCTGCTAAAAATTGCACAGTTAAATCAATCCTTCCGAGGACCTTTTTACTGCCAGACATTTCACATTGCCTTTTAATTAACTATTCAACCTGCGTTACCATAAAAAACCAAAGTGAAAAATTACTTCCGCCAAAATAATAATTAGAGATTTAAATCGGATTTCTTTTTCCTTACGATATTGCCCTTCTCGAACGTGCAGACCGGCCTCCTTGGTGGAAGCTGTGGCTTTGGGGTCCTCTGGTAATTAGAAGGAAAAGTAAGGGCATATTTGGCATATAAATTTATTTGAGAAAATAATACAAAAATTTAGCTGTACCTGTAGCTTAGGCTGTAGTTTCTCTACGGCCACGCTGTTACAAAGCCCTGCCCCTTGCTATTTGGGAGGCCATACATAAACATAAATTAAAAGCCCAGCCCCCTATAAATAGTTTATTAAGATTTAAAACTTTTATTTTTATGTCAAATATATATATTCATATTTTTTAAAACTTACGAATTTATCATAAATAAAATTAAATTTAAAAAAAAAAGTCAGATTTATATCTAATAAATCATTATCATTATTATTATTTATAATTGTTTTGTAAGAAAAAGTACCTTGCATAAGGCCCAATCCGCCGAATCAAAGAAGGCACGTTCGTGGTCCTAATATAGACCAAAGTTAAAAGAGGCATTAATAATTTAGGTGGGTGTTTAAAATTGAGACTTCATATCATTAAAACAATAAATAAATAAATCATTCATTCGTTACCTTTGAAATCAATGGCTTCTTCTTTGGAGCAAGTCCTCCGTATCTGTTCCCAGTTACTGCTGTAGCTTCCTGTATTTGTTTTATTTTATACCATAAAAACCTCAATAATATTTATTAAGCTAGCGTACCACTGGAACTGTGATTTTTTTAATTAAAAAAATTATTGGAAAATATATATGTGGAAAAGCAGTCCGTCTGAAACTCGCTCTAACGTGACTTTAACGTCAAGAAACTCGCTCTTTACAGGAAGCAAGCAATATCTTTGCTTTAAGAAGAAAAAGTTTATTTTATCCGTTTTTCAAGTCAATACTGTTAGTTAATAAAACTATATATTTATGTAGAAAATGACAATGTGGTTATCTTTTAGAGGAAGAAATATTGTAGCTAATCTTAATTTTTTTTAAAAAAAAATTGTATAATAAATTTATAAATTTGTAATTTGTAATTTCACAGCAAACGATGTCAACAATTGAATTCAGAAACAAAAAGAAAAAAAAATGGCAATACGACGACGTAACAAGAATTTCACTCAGCCGACAAATTCAAAGAAAGCAAAAATCAATAAATAAATAGTCCAAAATCCAACGGCATGTGGTGTGTAGTGTTCCCTTTGATAAAGAGTTGACCTCCTAACCCAAGTTGTATTATTAAACGTGGGTCCTTTTTTATCTTCCAATTCTTCTCTTCTCGTAAGTCATAATTCAATGCCAATCAGACAACTTGTTCTATAAATACGATGATTAAACCCAACAAATCACAAGAACCATCATGTCAATGTTTTTTCATTTTATATATATACATATATTATTATTATTATTAAAATTTTAAAATTTAAAATTTTATTAAACAAAAAATTAAAAGTTAAATTTATATTTAAATGTCAAAATTTCTCTTAACAATTAAACTTAAATTTGAAAAGAAAGGGCTATGGAATAACATTTTTATAATAAAACCTAATTTATAGATGGAAAAATCATTTTATTAATTAAAACATTGAACTTTAAGGTGATGATAAACTTGCATTGTCACAAAACAATCACATATTTTGGTTTTTATTTGTTATTTATAATATTATTTGGATGAAATCAAACCACGTCGTATTATAAAATACCAAGTGGTAGAGTAAATGGGAGTGGGAAAAAACGATTATAATATTTAAAAAAAACGCCATTTTTTGAAATGAAAATCTTATCGGAATAAAATGAACATTGCAAATTGGAGGGTCCATCGTAAGGGATTTTATGAGGCCCACTAACTGAAGCCACGAAAATTTCATTGGCCCTCATGTATTTGGCATTTTTTCCTTAAACAAAAAGAAAATGACTTAATTCTTATTTTCTTTCCTTCCTTAATTCAAAGAAAAGTAAAATAGTCATTCTTAATTTTATACTTGCAAAAACTTTCCTATTATATATATATATATATAATATTTTTATTAATGTTTTTAAAAAAATTAAAACACTTGAAAATAAGTTATTAACAAAATTTATGTTAATCATGATTATTAGTTAAAATTAAAATTTTAATTTTGAAGTTTTCTATTCCATTTTTTTTATTATTATTATTTTATAGATTTAGACATTAGAAATAGATTCACACATCTAAACCAAATGAAATCTAAAATGAAAAATTAGATCCTGATAGGTTTGTGTGATTTGTTTCTAGTTTTGATTAAACAAATAGATTTTTCTTTTATTTGGCCACAAATTATAATGTTTAGATGAAAATGATTCTAAAAATGTAATCTCAAATTTCAAAAGCAACAATATGCTTATATAGAGAATTCAAAGAGGAAAACACGAGATTTAAACGACTTAATCTAAGAGGAAAGAGATTAAATAAAATAAATGAAAAATGAATTGAATTGAATGTACCTGGTTTTGGTGGAAGGGGAAGTAATTTTCTCCTCCTTTGCTTTGATGATCCGCCATATCTAACTTCCTAACAACAACAAGAGAAAAAACGCCGCCGTAGTTAACGAAAAGGATGAAGAAATTAAACCGATTCATAAACAGAAATGCAAATCGACTCGCTCTGAAATCAAATTCAAAGCTATTTGATCGATTAATCGAATTCGTTCCAGTTCTGATAAGAAAACTGGTTCAGCCATGGCGAAACAGAAGAGCGAATTTAGAGAGAGAAAGAGAAGTACCTTGAGAGAGAGAGAGAGAGAGAGAGAAAATGAAAAAGGAGAAATGGATAGATGTGGAATGGGACAAATAATAACGGGCGGTTGAGTAAAGAGGATGCCTCGCAAGAATATGTTCAACTTACAACAACATCAATTTGGGGTTTATATAAATTTCAATTTATTATTATTACTATTAATTTATTACTTTATATTTCGAAGCTTATTTTACTGTTATATATATATATATATATATATATATATATATATATTTAAAAAAGAAAAAAAGAAAAGAAAAAAGAGGGTCAAGTTTTGCCATATAATTGTCGGCCTTTAAAAGAAATAAAATAAATAAAAGGTGTTTTGACTCGATAATTTTTTGATAATCTCATAAATTCGTCAACGGAAGACTAATCCAATTAGCCGCCCAATTGATATGGCACGTTGAGCTTTAAAAGTACCATAATTTTAATTATTAATTTATAAAATTTGAAAATCTAAAATAGTTTAAATAATACGTTTCAACTCAAATTAGTTGGGAAGAGTAAATCAATGAGCTTATCTTCTCAAATAATATTAATTTAAGAAAATGAGATAATTTATGTAAAGAATTTAGTTGTCGGGGTAAAATCCTGCAATTATCTCTTAAATTAAATTTAGAATTAAAAATAGTAAATTAAAGTAAACCAAAATAATAAAATAAAAAAGCTCACTAACCTCCAAACACGGGAACCTTTTTTTAAAATAAATTTAATAATCAAAATTCGAAAATAAAAATCAGCTTTGAAATTGATGGTCAAAATATAAACACGTCTTCTTGGATTGTTAGGTGGAATAAGGTAATTATCAGTATAGATTTTTTTTTAAAAAAAAAGAGAGAGAAGAAATAATAACACATTTACTTTACCATTAAATAGTCTAAACTCAATTATTAAAAAAAATAATGAGATTAGAAATATATTTGAATTTTTTTTTTTTTTTAAATTGCACAATAATGCAGAACACTTTCCAGCATTACTTAAATGAGAAGGGCAATATAACTTAATAACAATTCATATTCATTATTAATAGCATAATCTGCTTTTCAATCACAAATTTACACTTGCAAATCTACATAGATTGCCCCTTGCAATTTTGCTGCATTGAGGCACAATCATTCTTCAATACAAACAACAATTACTTCCAAATTTCTTTTCAATCCATAATTTCCCTCTTCTTCTTCGACCAATTTAATTTCATATACAATTATTTTTTAAAAACTTCAATTCTATGTAATCATCGTAATTAGGGCACAGCAGCATCAACATTTTTGCCAAATTCAATCAAAATTTAATATTCTGTAAATCGGCGTGAAGAGAAATTGTATGAGTAAGATCTCCAATATGGAGAGTGTGCTCACCAGTTGGAATTCTTCGAGTTCCAAATTGGTCGACTCGGCTAAGATGATCGCAAACATGAACTCCGATTCTAACTCGCTTTTGAGATCCGGCTGTCATATGAACCTTTTCAAATCCGATCAAGTGCTTGTATGGCGACGAGTTCTCGTTTGGAGCAGTCGCAAAGACGAGAACGGTGTGAGATCCGTCGAGAGTGCCGACGTTTTTGACGTCGATTTGAAGGCCTAGATCAGAGATTGAGGCGCAATCGGTGTGCGAGACTTTGATTGCGTTGAGAGAGGCGGTGGAATTGGGATTGGGAGATAAATTTGTGAGAGGAATTGGGAGTTCTTTTGGGGCTTCGGCTATGCTGTGGGTGAAT